ACTGTGTATCAGTGACTCTGCCTACGCAGTGAGACACAGACTGTGTACCAGTGACTCTGCCTACGCAGTGAGACACATTGTGTACCAGTGACTCTGCCTATGCAGTGAGACACAGACTGTGTATCAGTGACTCTCTTTACACAGTGAGACACAGACTCAATATTAACAAAAAAATTCATTTGTTGATGAGTTTATTCTGTTTGGATAATAAATTTCTATAATTATACAGTGAGTTCTTGGAGGTCATTAATACAGAGTTACAAAAGGCCCAGGAAGTAGTGCAGATCTCTGCCTTGATGGGAGACTGACACCCCCCTCCCTGTCACTCGAAACATTCAATATTGTAAAGGTGCTCCCTGACACTGTGATGCGGCCTGCACTGGGGAATGCAGATCCGTAGGTTAAGTTGAATCCAGCTGCAGTGTGAATCCTGGCTCAGATCCTATACCCAGGCCTGGGTAAACATCAGCCTGACCAACATCTCACTGATGCACCAGCACGAGCTGGTTGCCTGGTACGGTTTATCCATTTCTGTGGGGTAAGATTTCACACACTGATTCAGAGAGTCCATGCAGCAGCGAAGCCGGCCTCAAGCTCAGACCCTGTTTAGTGCTGAGTCAGAGGAATGTCAGCCCAGTTACTGGAATCATCTGACTATCAGTCACCTCTTCTGGGCTACCGTGCATCCGATCAGGAAAGGACTGAAGCTTCCAGTGGTACAAACTGGCTGTGGTCTCTGTCTGGACGATGGGGGTGGGGGCGGGGGGAGGTCAGCTTCCACGGGAACAGGTCCCGGATGGGGGAGGGATGGGGTTACTGACCGGTGAGCCAAATCCAAGCGAGCCATTCCTGGGATTGCATAGCCTGGCAGTGGAATCCTCTGTAATCCTCAGCCTCCTGCCCCTTGTCGCTAATCACATGAAAAGTCCTCCTGCAACAGAGCGAGTGTGCAAATGGGATCAGTTTCTGGATTCTTCCTTTCACCGTGATCCCATACCTACTCTGATTTGATTTCTGACACAACAGGGATGGATCAGGGAAAGGTGTGGATCCACATGTGTCTGCAGCCTCCCGCCTCTCAAAGCCAAATTAAATAAAGATAAAAGCCCAGGGTCATTTCTGGGAGCTCAGACATTCAGGTGACTGCATTGTGTGACCATGGAACAGCAGTTACTACACTTTCCCTGGAAGTGAAATGGTGCTGAGAGTTGCGGTCAGACCCCATGGAAATGTCCCCCATACCCTCAGAATGTCAGCACTGACCGTCCTGTTCCTGATGCTGGTTTTGTAATGCAGTTGGTTTGTGCTTTTCCAGCAGCCAGCCAGAGGGAACTTCACTGGCTCTCCATGGCCTCTTCCCACCCCTGTTTCTACACACACACGTATACACTTACACACACTGACTCAGACACACTCACACGCATATACACTCACACACACTGA